TAGTGAAATTCAGAAACGGAACATAGCGATTATGTGATATTGTCACCGGTGATGAGACATGGATTTATCATAGACAGATTGATCGGTAGTCAAGCAATTCTACCTGGATTGGTGAAAATGGACCACCAAGGACCGTTGTTCGTCGGAATATATCTGAATCTGAAATACTCTTTTGTTTATTCTTTAAATCCAATGGTCCTGTTCTTATACAGAAAGTAGATAAAGGCAAGACTATCGATCACAACTACTATATTGAAAATTGTCTCATACCTGTTATCAATGAAATAAGAAAAAAAGAAAAATCATCACTCACAAAATATAAACTGCTTAATGATAATGGTAGTCCTCATACTCATCGAGATGTTGTTAATTATCTAAAAGAGGAAGGTATCGAAATAATCCCACATCCACCACATTCATCAGATCTTGCACCGTGTGACTTTTGGCTACATGATTATATCAAGAGCAAGTTGGGTGATCACACAAATGAAGAATCGCTTGCTCACGAGGTTTCCACCATAGTGAACGATAGTTCAATAAACTGCTAGAAAAGATGGAACTTTGTGTCAAAAATAATGGTGATTATTTTGAGCATTTAATAAAATAAAACTACGAATATATCTTTCTTTTCGTCTTCTTGTTTTATATTGTCAGCATCTTTTCTTGGCTATAAGTACTATGTTTTTTATCTAGCAATATGTTAGAACTAAATCCAAGATAGAGCAGCTCTATAGATTTTTAAAGACGACACGTTATACTATATATTCACATAATAAAATATTCAATATGCACTGTTTTCTAAAATTTTAAACATCCGGACACGAACTTTTGGTACACCCTAAGTACCATTCCGAATGCATCACTGGTATTAATAAACAATTTATCATTAATAATACATGTCGAGCAACGAACCAATCAGTTTGATAAGTTGAAGATAAATCATATTAAAGCCTCTTAAAGCAGTGTTAGACATTTAAAAGAAAGTTTGAAAATAAAAAAGAAAATTATCAACACAAATCACATACTTTTTAATGAAAATATTGAAAAAAAACATATACATTTCACAGTACTAATTAAGAAATAGAATGTCAACATATTTTTGAGTTTTATCTAGAATATCAAGCATTTAATTCATATCTAAATATTGCTTAGAACAGCTAATGAAGTTATCTATTAAAAGTGACTCATATGGAGATTATACAAGTAGTACTATGAGAAGATTCTGTGAAACATCAAACATGATAGTTATTAAATAGATTGTAAAAATGATTTTCAAAGAATATTATCTTGAACAGTACAAAGAATTCAATACGAGGATAAAAGACTATCGCATTTCCTAGTCTTACATTGAAAAAATTAATATATCATGTAACCTGTAGAGAAAAATACAAAATTTAATAAAGAAATCAATATTTTTATGATGGTTACCGCTTGTCAAGGTTATATCGAAGAAAATAAAGTAATCTCTTATTTTAATCAAGTCTTTATGCTTTTGAATTTATTACACTTAGAAACTAATCTATGCCTAGTCTACCTGAAAACTATCGTGTTTATGACTTCAGAAAGATTTTATTCATAGTTCATCTGTAAAATCTTGCTTTCATATGTATTTTATAGGAATTGTCAGTTGTTATTTGAACTACTATAGCAATTTTAGCCAAATTCCTGTTATTATAGAGAAAAATTCAAAAACATATTGCTACTAAATTTCTGATCAATACTGTAATATAGTAAAAAATTGTTTGCTGTTTATGAAAAAACTTGCTTTTTTTCTCCATTATTTCTTTCAAAATCAGTCTTAAATTTACTCTTCGTGACCTTTTGTTTGACAATTAAAACAAAACAAATAACCATGTACAAAGAAAAATAATAATAAAATAAAGTATGCAATCTTTTTTGCAAATAATTTAATATATTTAAATGAATTATATACTTACATTTCTTATACCAGTTTTTAATACTTCAATCATGTTAAGATTTTTAAAGATTTTATAGCGTGATATTGCACTGAGAATAGGTACAACTAAATTTGGTTTTTCTAATTTCCATTCTTTAGCCATGAATTGACTTAGAACATATAAATCAATATTACCATCCACATAAAGAAATGGTCGACTCTAGAAAAATCAATATATTAAATAATTAAAATATATTTAAAGAGAAAAATTTTAAAAGAAAATGTTTACATAATTTATAAAATTTAAAATTAAAATTTACCTCGCCTGAACAATCTCCGAGAGAATCTTCAAATTTAAATGTTCCCCAAACACCTCCATATTGTTGTTGAATTATATTATACAAGTCATCTCGATTTTCTGTTGATAGTAAACGAGGAAGTTTTTCAGATAATGATAAATATTTCCCAATACTGTCACTTGTATCATTTACTTTATCTTGCGTCATCGACGCAAGCATCTAAAAGAGAAACTATTTTTATCAAAAATGGTATCAAATGTAATACAAGAAAATATGATAGCTATACTGGATATTTGGTTATCTGAGTGGCTATATTTCGAACTTATCAATTGATGATTAGAATGCATAACCAATGAAAAGAATAGCTAATGACTTTTCTTTTTCGTTCTTTATTGTTCAAGTAGATTTGCATCAGTGGTTTTTAGTATCCATATGTATGTACATATGTGTACATATTCTACACTGGGAAATCATTCTCGTTGGTCTTTACACCTTGTTCTGCCTGTTTTTTTTCTTTGCTTCAATCAACGAATACTTCTCTATCTGAATATCTAATGAAATAGTGTCCGTGTGATACAAGAAGAAAAAAAAAGAGTAATACAGAAAAGGACATGAAAATGATGCATGACAAAACTAACAGGTAATTGGATTTTTTAAATTGGTGTAAATAGTAGATAAAACAAGCATGTACTACGTTTTTTTTGCTGTCTTATTTCATCATTTCGCTTACAGCGAATCATTTTATTGAATAGTTTTTTCCGCCTTTCGTTTCTTTGTTTCTTTGTACATTATTGATATATGGGCGTGAGCAACCGACCTAATACCCCATAGGAAGAATATTATTTCAGGGAGAAGTGCATAATGAATTTTATACCAAATGAAAGCTCGTCAAAGATGGGATTTACTGATACTAAATAGTAAGGATTTTGTAAACTTTGTAATGTCGAATTTATAAAATTTTGAGAAATTTAATACACTAAAAATGTTAAAAAACTCACATTTTCTGTATGGAAAAACACTAGGTTTTCCCATGAAATTAGCTTTTTTTGCATTATTTTTACTACCTCAAATGTTTCGAAATACACTTATTCGATTCAGTTTTCCATGCTGCATCGATTGAATGTATTTCGGAACATGTTAGGTAGTAAAAATAATGCAAAAAAGCTAATTTCATGGTAAAGCCTAGTGTTTTTCCATATAGAAAATGTGAGTTTTTTAACATTTTTAGTGTATTTAATTTCTCAAAATTTTATAAGTTCGACATTACAAAGTTTACAAAACTCTTACTATTTGGTATCATTAATCCCATTTTTGACGAGCTTTCATTTGGTATAAAATTCATTATATACTTCTCCCTGAAATAATATTCTTCCTAAGGGATATCAGGTCGGTTGGTCACGATCATATACATGACCTAGTATTTCTTTTGTATCGGTAATTATCCTAGAAGCACAAAAAAAAGAATAGCACATTAATTTTACTGCAAATTAACATATTAAAGAAAATATGATTGCAAAAGACACTTATAGTAGTGACGCAAGGAAGAGTCTGTTCGACCATCCTTATGTTGTTTTCTAATATCAATTATATAACGTTTATGATATATATATATATATATATAAAAGAAACATTCAAAAGCGCTCGCTTTGTTCTCTCATTATGACATAAGGTAAGGTGCAGGCAATTCGGACTTTCAGTAAAAAACATTTTTCTCGCGTTTTTTTCACATCATCTGATAGAGTTTGAGCTGCTGATAACGAAAAACTACTTTTTAGCCTTAGCAAATATCTCCTTCCAATCGAAAAATCTGAAACACTGGAAGTGTGTCGTTTTTTGAGAAAAAGGGTGTGGGTGTCGGTGTCGATGTGGGTATGGGTGGGTGGTGTGGGTGTGGGTGGATGTGTTTGTGTGAATGGGTGTGGGTGTGG